CTCTGTGATTAGTAATTCGCTAACACAATCATGAGAATGTATAACTTTGAAGCAAGCAATTTATGAAAGTGTGATTTAATTATTGGGTCATGAATTACACTAAAAAGAAATTTTATTCCTTTAAAAAATTGAAATGGCACAACATGGGCATATGGTGTTTTGAAAACATCAAAATAATTTATGTTTTCTTATCATCTTATATTAATAATTAGCTTTTAAAATCACTTGATATATTCAAATCATGTGTTTCAGCATATTTTGCATTTGATACCAGATTGAGAGTCTATTATAGCTGAAGATGCAACTAAGCACTTTAATGGATTCTCATATTTTAACATAATACACATTACAATATTGATTAAGACTATTAATAGGTAAAATTAAATTGTCTCAAAATTGTTCAAATGGCACTATACAAGTGATTTTCCTGAATTAGCCTCTCTTAACTGGTTGCCACAAACAAACTTTGACCACAATTATTCAGTACTTGATATTAGTTATTAAAGAGGTGTATCACTGAAGAGCTAAAAATTATCCTACATTAAACTAAATAAGTGACCCATTAAATTAGTTTAGGTAGTCTTGTGTCATAATGATGAGCTGTTTACATTCTCTTGAGTAACTAATATCATTTCTGAATTATGGCATGAAAAAAATATCCAAGTTGACAGTACAGCATACAATAAAACATGCAGTGAAGAGGTCATAACTGGAGCTGTGGTCCACTGCAGAAGTGACTGAATTCAGTAAAGTCAATGGACAGGAAAATCTATTGTGTTCCGGCAAGTCGGATTGAATCTTGAGATGAAGAAGTGATAGAAGATGAAGTAGCCATCATGTTGTAGGCTGCAGAGATGTTCAGAACATTGGAACAGAAGGAGACCATTCAGCCCTTGAACATGTTCCATCATTTCATGAAAACATGGCTGATCCAAATTATAACCTCCATTTCTCCACTTTAGTTGAATATCCTATAATACCCTTCCCTAAGGAAACAGTCAGCCTCAGTTTTCAAATTTTCACTTGAACTAACTGTAACAGCTTTTTGGACTGTGGAGTGCAGATTTCTGTTAAACTTCATTGAAAGATAATTTAGTGCCACAATTCCAATTACAGTAATTTTAAAATCTCACAAATCATAGAATTGTTAATCGTTTGGGCAGCACAGAGGCTCAGTGGTTAGCACTGTTGCCTTACAGCACCAGGGACCTGCTTTGATTCCAGGCTTGGGTGACTGTCTGTGTGGAGTTCGCATGTTCTCCCTGTGTCTGTGTGGGTTTGCTCTGGGTGCCCTGATTTCCTCCCACAGTCCAAAGATATGCAGGTTAGATGGATTAGGCATGCTAAATTACCCCATGGTGTCCTGGAATGTGCAGGCTAGGTGGATTAGCCATGGGGAATACAAGGCTGTAGGGATAGGGTAGGGCTGTGGGTCTGCAGGGTGATGCTGGAGGGTCAGGCAGGCTTGATGGGCTGAATGGCCTCCTTTGGCACTGTAGGGATTCCATGTTTAAAGCAAAAAAAAAAGCAGGCCTTTCAGCCTCTTGTCTCTGACAGTTCATTGTGGGAGTAGCTCAGCAAATCCCATTTTCTTGCTTTTTCCTCATAGCCTTGAAATGTTTCTTCTTCAGTTGCCAATCCAATTCTCTTTCCAGAACTACAATTGCATTTCCATTCACCACACTGACCCGAGATCTTCACTACTTGCTGTGCAAAAAACATTTATGCTTAAGTTGATTCTTTTGCAATTCACCTTAAATCTGTGTCCTGCAGCTTGTGACTCATCCATCAATAGGAACAATTTCTCTCAACTTACTCTTTCTAGATGCTCCAGGATTTTAAACACCTATATCAAATTTCCCCTCAAACTTGTCTTTTGAGAATGACACTAACCACTTCAATTTAACCATGTAACTGAAGCACGTGCATGGAGTCATTCTCCTAAATATTTTCAGCACACCCTAAAGACTTCGCATTCTTCCTGAAGTGTAATGTCTAGAACTGGACAGAATATTCCAGTTAGCTCAAACAATTTTTAAGAAACATTTATCATAACTTCTTCAATTTTATACTCTACGGGCAAAATTTAATCTTCTTCAACTAATGGATTTGCAGTGGGGATATTTCTTGCCCTAGCAGAAGCCCTTGTAGCCAAATAATAACCATTTAAGGGAGATAGTAAGAACTGCTGATGCTGGAGTCAGAGATAACACAGTGTGGAGCTGGAGGAACACAGCAGGCCAGGCAGCATCAGAGGAGCAGGATAATTGACATTTCGGGTCGGGACCCTTCTTCAGAAAAGGTCCGTTTACCACCCGGCTTCAATTTCCAAGCTTGTGCAGGGGACAAATCTCACCGTAGCTCACCAGAGTAGTACTGGGGGATGAGGGGCCTTTGAAGAGTGTGCAGGGGTATAGGTTGACATGGATGTGGCATACAATGTGCAGGGGTGAGACCAGGAGGGACGTTTTCTGGTTGATTCTTTATTTTTAAGTTTTACATGTAGCATCGGCATCCCTGGTCAGGATTTTTCCCAGCCTGCTTCAGGAACTGGGCACCCTTTTAGGCTCTTTGCAGTGTAAGTGCAATCTAAAGTGCAAATGACCACTTTTACAAGCTCGGTTTACTGAGGCAAGATTTATCCCTGCTCAGCTCAGCTCAGGACGAAACCCCTAACCCCTCCCTGAAATTGGGAAAGAAAATCAGGACTTCTAGATTGTGCAATCAAGAAGTCTAAGAAAGAAACAAAGATATGCATTTATGTCGTGCTTGCCCAACCACTAAATACCTCAAATGCATTAATGTCAATGCAGTAATTTCAAAGTGTCATCACTGCTGTAATGAAGAAAATATTGCAGATAATTTGTGTGTGGCAAACACCTATGAACAGCAATATGATAATGACTTGATCTTCTGTTTTGTTGATGTCAGTGAAGGTTAAATATTGGCGAGAACACGGGAGTAACCCCCTAGTCTTTTTCAAAAAGGTGTCTTGGGATTGTATCCATCCACTTGAAAGTGTTGATATGATATGTCATCTTAAAGACCAGTACCTTTGGTGATGCAACACTCCCTCAAAACTGACCTGAGTCATCAGCTAGATTGTTGTGCTCTAGTTCTCAAGAAGGACTTGAACTCGAACCTTTTAATGCAGAGGTAAGAATGATGCATTACAGTTTGGGTATCAGTCAATGCTGATGCATAAAAATAGGCCAAAAGAGAGAACATTAAGGTCAATGGGAGTAAAGATGCTGGTGATCCTTAGTTCTTCATTATATTTGTTTCAATTTGAATGCTATTTTTAATTCCAAAATAGCTGGAACTGTCACTGCTAATGTGGAGTTCAGCTTTTATTTCCTGTTTCAGAAGTAAACATATCAATCTAAGTGAGGGAACTGAAGATGGATGCGGAGGTACACTGCTAGGAAATGGCACACCCATCATTGAAGATTCCACACATATGTCAGTCTTTGCAGATGACTATTTTGTTGTTCCATCATCTTCATATCACACTCATGGAGGTTGCTAACACTGGAAGTACAATATTTTGATAAAAGCAGATCTTTAGTTAGTCAACCAGATCTCTTGATTCAAACCAGTTCATCTACCAAAATCATTGAATTCTTACAGTGTCAAAATAAGCCATTCAGCCCATCGAGTCCATACCGAGCTTCCAAAAAGATCCCACCCAGACCTAGCCCCCCACCCTATCCCTGTAACCCTACGTTTACCATGGGTAGCCTGCTCATTCCTTGACATTACGGACAATTTACCATGGCCAATCCACCGAACATGTTTTTAATTCATTCATGGGCCGAAGGCATCACTGGCTAGGCAGCATTTATTGCCCATCTCAGAGGGCGGTTAAGAGTCAACCACATTGCTGTGGGTCTGGAGTCACGTGTAGGCCAGACCAGGTAAGGATGGCAATTTCCTTCCCTAAAGGACATTAGTGAACCCGATGGGTTTTTCTAACAATCGACAATGGATTCATGGTCATCACTAATCTTAATTATAGTTTTTACATTTAATTCACCATCTGCTATGGCAGGATTTGAACCCACTCCCTAGGTCTCTGGATTAACAGTCCAGTGATAATACGACTAGGTCATTGCCTGTCCTAAACCTGCTCATCTTTGGACTATGGGAGGAAACTGGAGCACCTGGAGGAAACCCACGCAGACACGAGGAGAACGTGCAAACTCCATACAGACAGTCGCCCGAGGCTGGAATTGAGCCCAGTTCCCTGGCACTGTAAGGCAGCAGTGCTAACCACTGAGCCACCATGCCACAAATTTATGAATGTGATAACTCCAAGTTCTACACTGTAATTTATGAGATATTTTGGATAGAAAAATGTTTACAGCTAAAGTCTTAGCAAATACTATTTTTTAATTCATGTTGTATTTCAATATTTTCAGATAGATAACATGAAAAACTTGATTCTATTCAGTAATGTATTTGGCATTTAAAGACAAAATTGGGTCAAGTCACTGCCTGCTTAAGGGATCTTTTATATATTCTCCTTTTTGATAAGAAAATTGTACTTTTTTTAGACTTGTTTTTGAACAACTGCCATTTTCATTACTGCACTGTGAAAGCATTGACAAGATTTACATTAATTTCTTGTCTGTTTGATCACCAAAAATTGATTAAATTGTTCAAGATGTATGTTACTTTCCTCAAGTCCTGCTCCTCTTGCACCAGAGGTTTTATTCATTATTTTAATGATGGATGTGTACCAATAGATTTTCTGTCTTTGAATGGATTTTCAATGGACTGCAGCACTTTGTCCCTTGTCTAACTGAGCTTGGAGCTTTCAGTGATGCATTCGACTTTCAGATCATTTTCTGCGTTGATTAGTCACAGTTTGCCACAGCAACAAAGGTGCATGTGCCAATCAATTTAGAAACTGCATCAAAGCAATTTAAATACCATTTAAAGTCAATGATAAATGTTAAATATTGCACATCTTGCAAAAGAAGTATAAATATACATACCGGCTGTAGAAATCATCTCTGTAATAATCGTAGTCAAAGTCATAACCACTGCTGTACAAGGAAAAATAAGCTTTAATGAGATGATGAAGAATAAAAGCTTTAATTTCTCCAACTTTAAAGAAATTCATTATTGCTAGATCCATTTAAACTACATTTAATACAAATGAAAATGTCACCATCATTTGAAATGTAGGTAATTAAGTCTAATAGACAAAACAATTGAGGTATACTGAAAATAGGAAATACTGCAATTACATTGTAAGTTCTGTCATCTTCAGTATCCTTTCTTCCTTTATCTAAATTCTGACAAAAATGTTTTGAGTTCTGTGCATTTTAATAATTTTCTACTTTTGATTTAGATTTCCAGTGACTGTACACTTAAGTATACATTGGTGGATAATCAAAAAGGAAGTGATTTTGATAATGCATTGGGTTTTTCTCTAGACATTAGATTGGACTTAAGGTCACTTATTTATTACACAAGTAAGTATTTGTTTTGCATTTAGTGATGATGTTTAGTGATTATGAGTCTTTAGGCAGTAGCAGAGAACTCTGATAAAATCAACATCAAAATGTCATCCAAACTACAGGAAATTGGGTACGCTGACGGCATCCGGGGCTTTTGAGGGTTGGGATTTGTTGGGTTTCTTACAGGAAGAAAGTTGGGATGGGTCCTGCTGAAATGAGTCTGGGACACAGGAGGCCAAACATTCCATGCCATGGTTCAGAGGAGGGCTTCTCTCCTGGCCCTACAAAGCAAATTAACATACAAACCACCAAAAGGCGCTTCTGCTTCTGAACCTTTTCCAGCAGAACTTCAACTAGTGCGGAGACTTTCTGGCTCTAGTTGTGGTTAAAATTACAGTCAGTGCCTAATAATATTAGTGCACCCTGATCTGTATTTTTAATAAGTACCGTGCTAGCTTTTTGGATAAGTGGCTTGTTAAGGGAAGACCACAATGTGAGATCTGGATGGGGCATATAATTATAGAATAATGTAGCAATGAAAGTGACCATTTGGCCAATCAAATGTCTGCTGGGTCTTTCACATCCAAGAGTAATCTAGTTAGACCCACTTGCTTGCACATTCCCCAAATCCCCGTATTTTTTTTCTTTCATATATTTATCCAAACCTCTTTTCAAGGTGTCAATTACTACTTCAGCAGCTAAGACACCCAGCTCTTTTTAAGGAGTGTATCTAACAAGTATGTAAAGCAAAATCATCCCTTGACATTCTAGTGAGAGGTTTAACTAAATGCTAATCTTATACCATGCATTTTATTCACTGGCAAGTCCTGCTGATGCTGTGTTTGGTTGAATAGCTATTTGAAAAATGGACTCCATGACAGAAATAAGGAAAGGATTGCTCCAGGAAGGTATAACATGAACAGTTCTAGGAAGCTCTTATATCTATTAAATATTTTTGTAGAAAGATTAAGTACTTGTGTGTAATTGTAGAATTAGCATTACAGTTACACACTTCTAATTTCTCTGTAGAATCTTTAAATGATTTGCCTTTGTAAAAATTAAATTTGGGCTTTCTATTGAAGCAGTTGAAACATGAATAACACAAATGTCTTAGATGGTCTGCAATAAAGCTGCTCACAGCAACTTGCAGAACAATATAACTCATAAACATTATTTGTTCAATGAAACAATGGATTGTCACTGATTATCACATGTTCAAAGCAACACAGTCCAACTCTTGTCAATATCACATCAGCTGAACTTGGACCACAGAAACAGCGGCAAAGTTTTTGAGTTTCTTTGTATTTCTCAATGTTCTACCTCCAATTAGTGTTTTTTTCTAACAGTTTCCAGCAGGTGCTATTTTCTTTAACTTGTTATAAATTCACACAGATAACTGGCTATCCACTTAGGAATCCCTGCTTATCTTCTTGCCATGCAGATACCAGCTCAGATACTTAATTTACTGCATTAATATCATTAGTAATGGTGATGTTACCAAGCAATGGAAATTTCAAATATACATTTGTCTTTATCAGGTTTCAGGTCAGCAATGTCTGACTTACAAACTCTCGTACTTATGAAAGCTGTCCCACACACTTTAACTTTAAAGACCTGATAACGAACGTTTCTTGTACTTACCAACGGCTGCTATACATTGCCCTAAATTGTGCTCTGACTTGTGTTCAAACTGATCTGTGAACAGACTCCAGAATGGAACCCGTTTGCAACCCAGGAACTGCTTGTATTTCTTGAACTTCAATATTTCCTGAAGACTTTTGGCAAGAGCACCTTTAGACAAACCCAAGCTGTTTCTTAATATATTTACTCACATCAATGAGAAAAATTCTGTTCCATAGATGCACTTGCTCTCTATGACCTAAAACATGCCATTTATACCACCTTATTGTGATACGGGTTATAATTTATTATATTATTATATGGTCTACAGTACACTGTCTGGGAGTCTGTTAGAGGCAGATTCAATTCAGGTACTCAAGATGGTATTAGATGACTATTTAAATAAACACAATGTGCAAAAAATGCAGGAGGATGGCACAAAATTATGATTCTTGTTTGGAGAGTTAGCATAGTCACAATGAATCAAACCGCCTCTTTCTGTCCCATAATACTTCTGTGATTCTCTGATTGTTATTTGGGAGCTTTGGTTGTAAAGTGGAAATAAATACGTTTTTTATATTCAGTTCTGTGAGAGAATGGCTTTTGTTTTAAGGGCCAGAATCTCATTTCTTTTGGCCAGGAGTCAAAAGAGCATTTCCAAGAAATCATGCTACCTGTGCTAAATGATTAGACAAGCTACCTGGTAAGAGTTTGGCTGAAGTCTCCACTAAAGTAAGATGTACTATCTCGAGAGGGACAGATGAAAAGGTCAGTGATAGATGCAAGTTCAGTTCAGAAGAAAAAGATCAATACCAGCAGATGAGTAACATAGAAGTAATCAAAGTAACTTGAAAATGCCAGAGTTTCTTTCTTATAGTTCAGTGAAAAAAATGCATGAATTAGCCTGTGGCTGTAAGTCCCTAGGAGAGATACAGAGAATCAAATCTGGTAAATGTGCAGAAATTTGCCAAAACAAATGTTTGCAACCTCATCAGTTTTGATAAGGAATTAAGAAATGTGGATAGGAATGATATTTTACTCCTTAAGTGGAAAGGATAGTGCTGCGAAAAAGGGTTGAGTCTTTCTTATTACACTTATTAAATAGTGACAAGAGCAAGAACAGATGATTTAAGTGGAGGACAACAATGAGTTGTAAAACAACACAAGCGCTGAAATTTTGCCACTTCTCAGTAAATAAGGCCATGTTTCAGCAATGACACGTTTTGTAGTAGGGTGGCCAAACATAAACTATCTCACAGTTCTTGGCACTTACAAAGGAGCAGCACAACAAGAACTGGTGAAGAGTCTCAACTTTCTGTTTGATTCTACCCTTCTCTTCCCTTTGAGGGGAAGCTTACACAGAAAGAAAAGAAGACTTATTACTAAATTAAACCGAATTGTTAATGAAAAAGATCTCAAAACCGCATAGGCAATAGGAATAAGACACCGACATGGAGAAATAGGAACAGGGATAAACTATTCCACTCCTCGAGTCTGCTTTGTCATTTAATGAATCACAGAAATCTTACAGTACAGAACAAGGCCATTTGGCTCACCATGCCTGCATATGCTCATTAAATCAACATCATCACCTACTGACAATTTCGTCCTTCTTTCCCATGCTCTTGAACATTATTTTTAATTCAAATAATTGTCCAATGTCCTCTTGAAAGCCTCAATGGAATCTGCTTCACCACATTTCCAAACACTGCATTGCATACCAGACATTGAGTGAATCATAGAATTTGTACAGTGCAGAAGTGGCCATTCAGCCCATTGAATTTTCACGGACCCAGTGAACAGCATAAAAACCAAAAGAACTGCAGATGCTGTAAATCAGGAACAAAACAGAAGTTGCTGGAAATGCTCAGTAGGTCTGGCAGCATCTATGAAGACAAAATCAGAGTTAACATTTCGGGTCCAGTGACCATTCCTGAGAACTGAGCATCCCTATCAGACCTAACCCATCCCCATACCTCCAAATTTACCATGGCTAATCCACTTTACCTGCATATCCCTAGACCCTATGGTGCAATTTCGCACGGCCGATCCACCTAACCTGCACATCTTTGAACTGTGGGAAACCAGAGCACTCAGCAGAAACCCACATAAACACAGGAAGAACATGCAAACTTTTCACAGACAGTCACTCAACACTGGAATTGAAGCTGGTCCCTGGCACTGTGAGATCGCAATGCAAACCATTGTGCCAGCATGCCATTGAATGAAAAAACTTTTCCTAACATAATCATTGCTTCTTTTGCAAATCACTTTAAATCTATGCTGTCTTGTTCTTGATCCTTTTGCAAAAGGGGATACTTTCTTCCTATCTACTCTATTCAGCCTGATCATGATTTTGGAACTATCAATCAGATATCCTCTTCTTCTCTCTAAGGAGAACAATTCCTGGCTTCTTCAGTCTGTTCTGATGACTAAAGTTTCTCATTCTTGGTATCATTCTTGAAAAGTGCTTCTGTACTCTCTCTAATGTGTTCACATCCTTCCTATAATGTGGTGCCCAAAACTGTACATAAGACTCCAGCTGGGGTCTAACAACTATCTTACACTGCTCTCTCTACCTGTCCTGCCATCTTCAATGATGTGTACATATATATGCCCAGATCCCTCTGCTCCAGCACTCCTTCTTTAATTACTCCCTATTTTTCTATTGTCTTCTAACATTCTTCCTTCCAAAATCCATCACCTCATACTTCCCTTCATTGAAACTCATCTGATACTTATGAGGATATGGCTGCTCTGTATCCTAATTCTGGTCATTCACCTTGTTTTCATCTCTCTTATTGTCATTGATCAGCAAAAATCTTACCGATCTTGCATGTAGAATTATTAATTGAACTGGCATGTACAGCTTTCTGGTGGAGACTTACAGATTTCTAGCTCCCTCCAAGTGAAAAATTGTTTCCTAACTTGTCTTCTCCTGAATGGTCTCCTTGATTGCC